GTTTTTACTGTAAACGTCTGACCGGTTCACTAAAGTCGAGGTATTTATCTGTTATAACAGGGGTTTGGAAACGTTATCGAGACAAAAAGACAGAGAGACGCGAGTTGGAGGCATCTGAGCATGATTTGATAGGAATAACTGAAGAAGGCGGTGATAGGAGGAGGCAGTTTAGTCGCGGAAGTCACAGGTGATGGGGACTTCTCTGTTTGATAAATTTCATTCGCATTTCCTCGATGTTTTTCTCTCTACGCTGCGCATCATGTTGTCCACTGTGAAAAAGCTGGAAGTCACCTATAACCCCATCAATGACAGGAACACCTTTGGCTGTGGAGACTCCATTTGTGGCCAAGTCACGCTGGAAGTGGCCAAAGTCTGTCGGATAGAATCTCTGTCCGTTAAATTCAAAGGCAAAGCAGAAGCTGAATGGACCGAGAGACACGGTCAAACTACTGTAGTGTACCACTCCAAAGACAAATACTTCAGCTTTAAACATTACTTCATTGGACGCGATAATCATCAGGGTAAGTCTGCTTTTCATCCTTTTCTGCTTGCACAAAGATCGTAGGTTTAAATGGAAAATAAGATTATTTTTCAAACAATAAAACTACACATTAAAAAAAAACAAAAAAAAAAAACATCGTGTGCAATTAGGAAAAAATAAAAATGTTAGTTTCATAATGTTGTTGGCCAGTCAACCCTCCTCCAAAAACAAAAAAGCCTGCAATGGAAAGATGTTAAAATTTAAAACAATCTGGAAAATATACGCTGATTCCCAGACACAGAGGTTGTGGATGGTGACATGACACTGTTGAGGTAAGCTCATTATAAGACTCTGCTAGATTTCCCCAAAAGGTATGTAGTACCTGAAGTGAACTGGAAGAAAACTGAAATCTGGTAATACAGATTAGATTAGATTAGATTAGATTAGATTGCACTTTATGTTTTCACCACAAATAGGGAAACTCACTTGTTGCAGCAGCATGGATACAGGAAAGAGCACACAAAAGTGACAGGAAGAAAAGAGAACAAAGAAAAATACAAATAGGAAGAGCTGAGAGATGTAATACAATAGAGCTACACACACACACTATAGATTCATATAAGGGATACTATGAACTTAAAAAATGACGAAGAATAGAACATGGTACAATAAAATAATTATTGCACATAAGGGAGGTAAACTGCACACAGTAAGGGGTATATTGCATGTGAGAAAACCTGAGTAAATATATATTATACAAGATGCAGTATGGAGAGAAGAACTACAACATGTTGTACATTCTGATAGCGGTTGGGATGAAGGACCTGCGGTGAGATCAAAATCGAGCTTTTTGGCCATCAGACTAGACAGGCAGATATAAGGGGTCTGTTTCACAAAGCAGGTGTAGTGGAAACTCTGAGTCTGTTAACCCTGTCACCTCATTTCAGGAAATGAGGTGACAGGGTTAAGGGTTAGTTCTGCCTAAATAATGTGTCAGTTTCTGTTAATTAAGTGTGTTGCTTTTTGTTCAGAGGATGACGAACAAATTCTACTGCCAAACGACAACCTGAACACATGTAAGTATTTCAAAGTTGTGTCTTAAACTGTTGTTGGACTCTCTTCTGCTTTTACTATATGCCTATGATTGTGTGTTTTCAGTCCACAGTAGCTTGAAGCTGTCATATGTTTTAAGATTTCAATTTCTTGTCTGCACAAGTAAATTAAATCCAATGAATAGCTTGAAATGGTGGAATGGTTAGTGGTGAACTGCCAGAGGTTAAAAAACAAAAGGTAAGGTTACCCAAAACTGAAAAATAATGTACATATCAGAATCATACAAAAAGACCCTTTTCAGGGAACAAGAAATGGGTTAACAACTTAGAGCTGTTCTGCAGCGATGGAGGTTTAATCAGGCCTTGAAAGTTGTTGCTACCAGTTCCTACAGGTGTCTCAAATGTTCTTGATTACTTACAACCCCCTCTGTCTGCATAAAAGTAGTGTTGGAACACACTGAGGTACCA